CGTGGGCCCGCGGGGTCAAAGTTGTGCATTGGAATTTTGAACATCATAGACCACTCTTTTCACTCATATATATTTGGGCCACATGCTGGTGTGGCTGTCTTTTGACCCTCTCTAACGTTATTTTTTGCTGTAAAGACTCTGATGATCCTCAATGGACATGGGGTATAATATCTTAACCATATGCGATACAAGTGCGATGTGAATCACCATGACCGCGCAAGCGCGAGCAAATTAAGGTGGAGGTACTGGCTCAACCGTGTGCGATACAAGTGCGCTGAAATCACCACGACCGCGCAAGCGCGAGCAAATTAAGGTGGAGGTACTGGCTCAACCATGTGTGATGCAAGTGCGCTGAAATCACCACAACCGCGCAAGCGCGAGCAAAGGGTGGAGGTACTGGCTAAACCGTGTGCGATGCAAGTGCGCTGAAATCACCACGACCACACAAGCGCGAGCAAGGAGTGGGGGTACTGGCTTACCCGTATGCGATGCAAGTGCGCTGTAAAACCACCACCTATGCAAGCTAAAGGCGGGTAAGTTTATTTGGAAATTAGGACGAAACGTGTGCGATAGACTAGCTAGCTAGAAATATAAAAAACAAACTACCTGCCTTGAGCGTTGCAAAAATCGGCGGATCCGCGCCACTTTTCCTTATTACCATACACGCATATTGTTATTGGACCGTGCGCGATCTTGGGAACAACCGCCCCGCATCAATTCCTTTACCCAAATTTTAGTAGTCTTCGTACTTCAACCGTTGCCCACACTCCTCCAGCACCGACCTTATAATAAAATTGCAGTAGCCGAGGCATCTGAACCGTCGCCCTCCCTCGTCCACCACCATCTCCACCCACCATTACTTAAATTTTCAGTAGCCGCGGCGTATCCTCAAACACCACCCCCTCCACAGTCCCCCACCCGCCCCCTCCCCCCTCGAACCCTAGCTCGCGGCTGCCACCGGCGCCGCCGCCAACCCCTGTTGGTCTGCCCGTTCCTCCTAACTTAGATAATAAAGTTCAGGTTACCTAGCGATTCCCATACCATCGCCCCACTCCCCTGAGTTTTTAGATGAGCCTGCGGTGTCCTTCCCCCCCAGATCCACATCCCCTACTCCAGAATGCCGCAGCCTAAGCTCGACCACGTATCCGGGGAGCCAGACGAGCGTTCGGCCAAGAAGAGGTTTATCATGGCCTCTTCGGCGGACGTTGGCGAGGTGGTTGTCGTTCGCCCCGACCTGTCGATCCCGGAGCAACACATCGCCGTGGAAGCCAGCGAATACGTTGACTACGTTGCCATGCCGAAGGCTTCATCTCAGCGGGCTAGCGTATTACTGTATCTCAAGAAACTGGCTATGACATCAAGCTCATCCACACCGACGGCTTCACGCGAGCCATGTCACAGGTCAAGTGGTCCATCCCCAACCCCTCTGGTTCAACCATCGTTGATCTCTTCGACGGCCCTGCCGCTGATCTCCTCCGCCAAGCGATCAAGGATTTGCGAGCTTTATACACCATCGAGCCCATTTTGTCACTTCTAAAGGACACGTTCTACGGCGGCTGTGTGGTATCCTCAATTGCCAAGTCAGATCTCATCGACCATGACCACGACCACGACCTCGAGGAGGGCACCCATGAAGGTTCTTCCAAGGTGAAACAACCCATCTGTGACATCAGAGAGCGCACCATGGGTCTGTGCTCTTCCAACTGGAAGGATCCCGTCCATGAAATGTGAGGCAACATTCTATCAGCAAATCTTACCTTTTCTAGCTTGCCAACCCGTACCCTTTGTTGTAGTAGCATTTGTCGTGCGGTGCTTTAACTGTGTCGTGTTTAATTATTTCAGTTATGCAAAAATGTATTGTTCAATATGTCTATGTGATGTTTAAGTATGAATTGTCCACTTTAGTTTCACGAATGGCTATATTTAGTTGTTTATAGTGAGTAGATGCCTTGTTTATCTGTATTTGGTTGTTAGGTTGGTTGAAGTGAGCATTTTTTCAGTTATCGAGCAGATGCCTTATTCATTTGTATTTGGTTCTTAGTTTGGTTGCAGTGAGTATTTGTTCAGTTATCAAGCAGATGTCTTGTTTATCTGTATTTGGTTGTTAGGTTGCTTTTTTAGCATTTGTCCAGTTATCAAGTAGATGCCTTGTTTATCTATATTTGGTTGTTAGGTTGCTTTTTTAGCATTTGTCCTGTTATCAAGCAGATGGCTTGTTTATCTATATTTGGTTGTTAGGTTGCTTTTTTTAGCATTTGTCCAGTTATCAAGCAGATGCCTTGTTTATCTTTATCTACTTGTTAGGTTGGTTGTTGTGAGCATTTGTCCAGTTTTCAAGCATATGCCCTGTTTTTCTGTATTTGCTTGTTAGGTTGGTTGCAATGAGACTGTCCAGTTTTCAGTGACTATATGTGGTTGTTATACTGGTTATTTATGCCTTGTTTATTTCAGTCATTCACAATGTGGTGTTCATTATGTGCAAGTCGGAACTGTGCCGCTCGACTACATCAATACCAGTTTGAACGGCTATATTTGGTTCCAGTTATTCCTGGTGTAGTTAACACATGCCCTTTATTTTGGTTTTACATATTTATCCAGTGTGATGTTTAAGCATTACCTATGTTCTATTCATTTTCAACAATACCAGTTCGAATTGCAAATATTTGATGGCTGTTAAGCCTGCCGTTGGTAGCATTGCCTTCCATTTTATATCTGCTTTAACAACATGCTAAAACTAACACATTCAAGCTATCATTTGGAGATGATGTTGTTTACCTTTGCTATATTTGTTTAATGTTAAGATTGCTGTACTTATCATGCCTTTCCACTACTTATGCAGGACAACAACGCGAGTGGCCACCATTTTTCGCCGAGGTTAGCTTCATCCCTCGGCTTGTACTCCCCCCGTCGTTCCATAATGTAGTGCATATAGATCCAGGTCTGGACACTAGTTAGTTTCTAATATTGACTTGTTGCTTGTAGGTACATATGCCCTTGGCAAGGATCCACGCATCGACCCTTTTTGCGTATGGGGCAATGAGATATTGATGAACAAGCATCAAGTGAGAAAACTGATAAGGATTATTAGCAAAAAGATACGAATGGTGGTAAGCAAATTATTTGTTTATGCTCTATCCAACACAACAGTGAGCTGTAGGATGGTAACTACAAACTCTGCAGCCTTCTCTTTTTACTGCCCATAATGAGTTGTTAGACAACAATGTTTGAATCTTTTTCGTTCCCAGTGGTTCCCGAAGCAGTTCACTCAATATTACCTCGCAAAGTACATGATTGGTGGACACGCAATAAAGGTTAAAGTATTTCATCCAGACTACAATGAGCATCGAGAAGTCCTAATGAAGACAGTGAAGGATGGACGGGTATCCATCACAAGGGGTTGGCCTAGAGTCATGCGCGCCTTACGCATGGGGGCACAATATGGGCATTCCGCTTCACCTTCTCCAGCAACCAGAAATGTCTTTCGCCTCTCTCTTTACAGTCTTTAGTATAACTGTGGTTCATCATTCTTTACTTGGTGCTTCTGTAGTTCTTTAGTGTATGTACCTGTGCATCGAATTATGGATTCGTGGTTGAACCTATATTTGTAAACATGGTTCGATATGAAATAAGTGATTGCCTACTTTCAAATTCAAAACATGTGATTTTTAAATTAGGGATTAATTGGATTAATTATGCATTAATTAGGGATTACACTGCACACGATTTGCGAAAGCGAGACGTGTGCGATATACATGGAGATCAGGAACGTTTCTAGGATCCACTACGTGTGCGATCAATCTCCACTGCACACACGACTTTTTCTTGAAAACTGTTTGCGTTAGGCCACCTTGCGCAAACGTTTACCATATAAAAAGTGTGTGTGATGGACAATATTTGCCACACAGTTTCTTCCACACACCATGTGATACATTCAATAACACAAACGATTTAACGAGAAAAATTATGTGTGATGTACCTATGAACATAAACGTTTTCCTTGGAGCGACTGTGTGGGATGTATATACGAACGAAAACGTTTAGCGGGGACTGACTGTGTGGGATGTACTTGCGACCGGAAACAATTTCGCCGTGTAATTGTATTTTTTAGCTCTACCATACATATTTACGTATTTGAGCCCTCGCCGGTCGCACATGTTCTTATTTTGCCGAGCCTGTGTGCCAGGGAGGCATATCTCCGACAGTTTCTGGGTCATGTGGGAAGGACCCCCTATCGCCCACACTCACTTGGCGACGGTTCCAAATGTCATCGTGGAAAGGGGTTAAAAACCGTTTATTTAGGACCGACGCGCACCGGTGTATACCGGATGGTGGTGAGGGAGGACTGGTGCCGCCCATCCACGCCTTCACGACGCTGTCGGCGACCACTGGACCTCCGACCAGGTCGCCCTGCCTGCCCGTGCGCCATCCTCATCGGATCCGGCGAGATCTGCCTGCAATCCTTGCTGCCGTCTCCTTCCGAGCTGCATGAGTCTCCGGCCCTTGTTGCTCCCGGACGTCCCCGCCTCTTGCCCGTGCATCATCCTTGTTGAATCCGGCTAGAATTCTTGCTGCCGTCGCCCTCTCAGCCGCCTAAAGTCTTCGCCGCTGCGGGATCTAGCTCCCTCGGTTCTGAAACAAAGGCCTAATTGCAAAAAAAAAACCCGTGGACGCAGAGGGGTTGCTCTTGAGCGTCTGATCAAGAGCGAGGACGCTTGCACGCAATAGGTCGGCTGAAAGTAAGTTTCCTTTATACTAACTTTGTATACTAACTTAGTTACTCCCAATTTTTTTCTCAAAAGTTAAACGAACACAACATTCTGGCCCAGTTTCAGTTGTCCAGCGGGCCGTTTCTCACCGATCGAGTCGTATATAGCCCAAGTCCCACACGAACATCAATCTCGAGCCCGCAGTCGCACCCGCCCCCGCCCCCGCAGCCGCCATCGACCAAGAGCGGCGGCGACCGGTCGGCGGGCGACTCGGTTCCCCTGATCCCCTCCGGTATGGACGGCCAGGCTTCACACCCCGTCGCCGTCGCACCCGAATCCCTGCCGCAGCCACCTCCGCATCTGGAGACGGAGGCGGAGGATGACCCCGTCGTCGTCCCCGACGCCTCCGATGCCGCTTCTTCGGAGCCTTCCAAGGTCGGCGCCCTTTCGACGTCGCCTCTTATTAAGGCGGAGGACGACCCGGTCGTCGTCCCCGACTCCGTCGAACTCGCTTCTTCGGAGGCCTCCGTGGTTAGCGCAGGTGGTGTAGTGCCGCCGCCACCGCCGTCGCGGCCTCTTGATGCGGAGGAGGATTCCCTCATCGTCCCCGACACTTCCGAGGCCGTTCCTTCGGAGGCCACCAATGTTGGCACAGGTAGCGTGGTGCCCCTGTTACCATCTCCACCTCTTGAGGCGGAGGACGACCCCCTCATCGTCCCCGTTATTGATGCCTCTTCGGAGGCCTCCGACGTGGTTACCTCTGGTGTCGTGCTTACGGACGAGCTCCGTGACAAGATAGTTAAACAGGTATACCAATGGTAGCCCGGTCTTTGATACTTGGTTCGCGTGAGAATGCTGAGTATCGTGTTCTCTTTAGTTAGCACTTAGCACCCTTCATATAGATATATAAATGCATCCTCTTGTAGTTCGTGTCACAGGAATCTTATAATCCTGTATTCGTGCAAACAAATGATATTCTGAATGCTGTGCTTGTTAGAAGGTAACATGTTCCAAATTTGCAGGTGGAGTACTACTTCAGTGATGAGAATCTTCCCACAGATGAGTTTATGTTGAAATTTGTGATGAAGAACAAGGAGGGCCTTGGTAATGGTAAGTAGTGTGCCATTGCCTTAGGACATACATGTAATGAAAACACTCTGTACCACGGTGCTCAGGAGTTGACATATTCTAGTTCCTAGTTGTGTTAGGTTTGTTTATGAGACAATAGGCATGTAAAATGGATGAACTATTCTGGCTGTTTTCAACTGCTTACAACGAGTGTTTTTATTCTAACGTCACCATTATATTTGTCAACCACGTTATTTGAACTTGTATTAGAAACAAGCTTTTGTTGTTCATCTGTTTTTGTGGAACATTTTTGCCCTAGAAGGCTAGAATTTGCTGCATTTTCAGCAGTACATGTTCAATTTGAAGGCCTTTTTCGGCATCTGTTTTTGTGCAACATTTTTGCATGCCAACACATCATGGTGCATGGTCTAGCTCTGCAAACTCAGTCCTCAGGATTACTGCCTTTGTAAACATGATGTTTTGCTCTTGCCCTAGCTTTGTTATGTCTAGTGGAATGGAGATGAAAATGATGAAATGTGACAGGTACTTATGATGAGGCTTTTACATGGGTACTCATGGTGCAGCTTTGTTTAGTTGTGCCGAGAAGCTGGTCTAGACCTCTGTGAATATTGCATATACTTTGTTCTGATTCACTCCATTCTATTCAAACAAGTAGAGATCATGGGTGGTGTCCTGTGGAATAACTATTGGGCTTCATTGTTTATTTCTGTTTCTTTAAGATCTATCCATAGCATCTTGTCAGTTCCCTTTGATGGTTTCTGTTAATTTGCCTTGCTTTTGGTTTGATTTGGGAGTTTGGGACCATGAAGATAAATACATCTGATCCTGTGGTTGACAGATGTTGCCTGGTCTTCCACCACGGTAGCTCTGTCAAGATTATCTCCCCAGGAATATGATATGTACCTTACTCATCTGAGTTGTCCCTTAGCCTACAATGAAGCAGCTTTTTGACCTAGGTCTGGCATGTCTGGACCCAGTGCACGCAGGAACAAAAAAATTTACTTACCGAAATTTAGCTCCATAATTTCGTTAAGATGGATTGGTTTTTTCTTTTATTGGTATTGTTCTGTGTGTGATGGTGGCCGAGTCGCATTTTCAAATTTCACACGAAGCAACATAAGGTGAATGGTTAATGAATATCGTACTCCCTTAAACATAAATAAATAAATGAAGATCTTACAAAGTACAAGAAAATATGCAATTTGCATAGGCATAATTTGTGGAATATTATGATGCGAGGACTGAACCAAATAGTTCCTTTGAAATGAAATATGAAAACATATGTGATCTCTAGTTACAAAGTAACCAAACAGAATGGCAGAAATACTGCACTTTCTTTTGCCAGGCACGGAGTTGCTTTTGTTTTTAGACATATACATCATATATGTTTGATATTTGCTGGAACATGATTGATCTATGATATTTGCTGGAATTTTGTATGCACACACTATACTAAATAACACTTATGAAGTAACCTAAAGCCCTAAACAGCATTCCATTAAGCACCCATTTGGATGTAAACTATGTTTTATTTAGTTTTTCTTTTGGTTCTACGTTTGTGGATTTCTATTGTGCTGTGTTTTTTCAATATTTAGTGTTGCTCGGCAGTTATTGTACTTCAGCCCATATTTAATAGATGTGCATCATGGTTTGATTTGGATGAACATTTCATATAGTGTGTCATAGAAATGTAGAATGCTCTCTTCTAATGGTGTGTTATTCTTTACAATAGTTCCGCTTGGAGTTATTGCATCATTCAGGAAAATGAAGAAACTTGTTCAGGACCACTCGACAATTGAAGCTGCCCTTAGGACATCATCCAAGCTGGTAATATTTTGCTCTTTTGTTCTCTTTGCTGGCACTTTGGAGATCATACAGATGGAAATACGTGCGGGCTACTTGATATGCACTTGTAATTGTCATCTTGTCTTATTAGGTTGTGAGCTCTAATGGGAAAAGGGTCAGAAGGTTACATCCCTTACCATGCAATGAATTGAAAGACGTGAAGGTGAATTTCTGATTCCTTCCATACTGGAATGTTTAACTTTATCCTCTTTAACAATGTTTTAACTTTTAACTTAAAACCATTTTTCAGAAAAGGACTGTTGTGATGGAAAATCTACCTCTGGATTTCGCCCTGGAGAGTGTACAGGAGAAATTTGGATCAGTTGGCAAGTATGTTAGCTGGACACTTGTAGTAGTCTGTGCTTGTATTGCAGTTGGTAATTTTTGGTGTGACATTCTGAAAGCAGTTAATAACTAATGCTACATCATTCTGAAACTGAACTTTATCGTTTTATGTACCAGGATTATGAAGATAACCATCCATGATCCACATGCAGTTGGTGAATCTGCAGCATCGAAGAAGCCTGACTTCATGTTGAGTAATAAGGTATGCTCTTACTGATAATTTATGGCTGTTGTTGATTTTATACCTGTCAATACATAGCTCTTCACATTTTTTATTAACCTGTATTTACCAATTACCACTCTATTGTAACTAGTTATTCAATGGAAATATATATGCATTCTGTTTAATTAAGTAATAACTTCATTCGTCTCTACATATTAAGAAAATTATCTTTAGTGCTGAATCAAGTAACTTGAGGGTTGTGCAGGTACATGCCATTGTTGAGTATGAAGCAGTGGAGGCAGCTGAGAAGGCTGTAAGTTATTCATCTCTTATTCAATGACCCATTCGGTGCTAATCGAAGAGCTATACATCTAGTATAATTACCTTCTTTTTAAGATGTTTTGAAAATTTTATTATATTAGGTGGCAACCTTAAACGATGAGAGGAACTGGAGAACTGGGATGAGAGTCATACTCCTGGCTAAACGAAGTGTAGTGGGATCAGGAAAGAATATCCAGTCTTCAAAAGAAAATCATGGCACATGTTTGAGAAAGAACAACGAGGGCCAGTTTTCAAAAGAAGTACAGCAGTCGGTATCAGAAAAAAATGGTGGTGCTGATTCAGGAGAGGTTGCTTCAGATAAGGAGAATGTGAACTCTGATGTTAACCATGAGGTCTGAATTTTTCAATACTTATTCCTTTCCTGCTCTGTTGTATGATTGAAGGTTTAGTTTCCTGTATTTTAGTGCATCATTTGTTGCCTGCGTACTTCCATGCTGATAGTCTGGTCCTTTTTTCTTGTACTGTGCACATGCTGCAAACTAGAACTATATATGCATAGTTTCAGAAGAAAGCTGATACCCTGTTGTCCACATCTACAGGAAGTGCGCCAACAACAAAGGGCAAATGCTAGCGGTGGTCGAAAAGGCAGATACAGAAGCCAAGGAAAAGGTCTGAGTGGACAAGGTATTCTACTTAATTGTCACCTACTAAAATTTTGGATCTGACTATGGTTTGTACTTCTGTAGTTATAGAACAACATCCGTTTGTATGTCCATTTGAACACATAAGTTGAGTTTATTCCCAAATCAACACATAAGAGAAGCTCGATGGTAAACATGTTAATCTCCGCAAGGGAAGCTGGATTGATCTTTTTATGTCTGCTAAATGCGCACCTAGTCCATGTAACAATGTCGTGTCATCTGTTTCCCCAGCTAGGCCTTTCCATCTTGAGGATTAACGTGGGAATTTCTGTTGGGCTTAAATTTGTGGATACAACCATTGCTTTAGCATGCTTATCCTTTGCATGAGCCAAACTACCCTGATTATCCTTGCATGCACATTCTTGATAACCAAACAGACACGCGGAAGGCAAACCTCATAAGCCTTTGTGCTTTTACACCCTTGACTCTAATTTCCTCATTTATGTTACATAAATATCACTAGAGTCTACCGGACACACGCACTTCTAACATTTTCAATATCCATATAAGGGCATGGCTCATCCCCTACTATTCCTGGTTCTGACTCTGCAAACAAGCCTATTTCTGGGCCAAGAATGCCGGATGGAACAAGGGGCTTCACAATGGGGCGCGGGAGATCGCTTCCACTTCCGAAAGCCGAGAAGGCCCAGAAGACTGAGGAATAGAACTTCATACAAATGGGTAGTGCTTTTTCATGCCACTTTGTAAGGATGTAAGCATAACCATGCTTCTATGCTACATTTCCTTTATGACTTGTACACGGAAAAGCCCCCCGTTGCCTTTTTTGAAATAACTGTCACTTCAGTTGGAGATTTCACACGTGGCTGGTCCTTTACCACCTTACTAGTATAGTACTACTATGTATATTTGTGACAAGCTGAAACCTGGTTTGATGACTGCCAAAGCTTTGCCGGTTGTCATATGCTTTGGCTTGGAAATGTCTGCTTAGGCTATTTATGTCGATCTGGTTGTGCATATTTGAATCGCAAAAAGGAGAGGAAGTTATTAAGGGGCTTTGCGCTCTGGTGTTGTATTGTTGCTGCTGAATGCTGACTGGATAAGTGTTGCGCCAACAATAATGAATGGAGATCGAGATCACATCCTGCAGCTTGGTCTTTCTTTGATTTGGGCCAATTCTGCTGCTTGGTCCTGCGCTAAGGGCCTACCACGTTGGGAACCTGCTGTGTTGCTCGTCGTTGGGCCCTTGCCGCCTCAGCGTTCTTGTGCGTTGTGTCGATTCCAGTCTTGACTAGTCAAGAAAGGGCCAGTAGTTTTTTTGCAAGTAGTCACACTACGGTTGATATTTGTACTTGCTGCTGTTCTACCTTTTTGTACGGCTTTTTTTTGAAAATCGAGGCAAAAAGGCTTGCCTCATATATTAATTATAAGCAGAGAGCAGAGT